TACTTAGGACTTACAGCAGGAATTTGCCCGGTTTTCCTGTAACTAAGTTTTCTTGGGGCGTCTTTTTAAACCCAATATTCTGGGTAGAAAGTCGCAAAATTGGAAACATCAAGCACAGTTAAACGGGCTAATAAATTAGTCGGAATTAGTTGGAAAGTGGCACGAACGCTCCTTCAAGCGCTTTTCTGCGAAACACTCCGGAGGAAAATCAATGGGCGCTGTTAAGCTGTTTCTTCAAATTAAGAGTTTAATGAAGAAGAAACCGTTTGAGTCTTAAATATTTTTTCTTCAAAGGTACTTTACCTAAAGGTGGAACGAACACAGTGGAAACTCGCACAACTCGGACAATCAAATGCATTTGAGTCGCCACAGCAGATGCGGAACAGAAACCAGAGAATCCTTTGCATGGAAGAAATCGCCGTGTAGAATTTCAAGTGCATGCAAAACTACAGGGTGGATCAGAGAAATCCATGTGCACTAAGCAAGTGCGTTTAAGGCCGAGTCATTGAAACAAAAAATGTTCAGTTGAGGCTCCCAAAGAGAAAAAAATCATTTAATTTAGCTCTCGAAACCTAGAAGCTTTTCAGCCAAATTTAAAGCCACTTTCTCTCCTGGAACGATCCAAGTAAATTCGCAGTAGAGTGCTCGAGTGTTCCCCGTACAGGAACTAAAATGAGGGTGAAAATCCCTACACATTGACTGTTAGACGATTTTTGCTAAGCCCGCCTACAAAATAAGGCAAATTGATTTAGCGGCATCGATAGGTTGAGCATTGTTTTTCTTCGACTGAATATTCCGGGAATCCGCCCGGAATGGAATATTCGCCCCTCGGAGGATTTGAGAAAATCGCGGCGCCGGCGACGAAAATACAAGGAAAGGTCAATACTTCGGAAGCCAATTTTGAAACGGATTCTTGACTTTTATTTACTTTGCAAAGGGAAATAGTGCTGAATAGTATTAAAGTAGATTAGGCAAATAATGGCAGCCGATTCAATGTGGCTTTGGACCTTTCTTGTGCTAATTTTATTTTTTTCAGCGCTACTGAAGAGTTGAAGCGGTTAATGAAACTGAAAAATCCTGTTTCTGTTCAAATTTTAATAGACTTGAAACGTCTCTCGGATGAATGTCGGCAAAAAGGCCATTAAACCGACTTGGAATAACGACAGGGCAATTTGCCGCTAAAGTACAAAAATGAGGAAAAGGAGCTAAAAATTTTATATAAACCGTCTGTCTGTCTCGCGAGGGAAATTCAATTTCCCCGTAGAGAAGTGCAATGTGAGTTAATGAAATTTTAGAACCAATTTTATCGGATGAGATTACAGCGACATTAGATCGTTGCGAATTCCACTTGAGATGCTCCTTTAAACTTGACCCAATTTTTTTAACGCAATCATCCTGATCTATTAATTTGAGCTGAATCATTCAAGCCTTTCACAGACCTTCTGATTATTTTTTATAAACTTCTTTTTGGGTATTTCGCCATAGTAGGAGTAGGAGAGAATAGGAGCACTATTTATCAATCTGTAATAAAAGACGTGAGGAAATTCTGTCTTTTTTAAAGACAAAAATTTTTGAGGCGAAATACCCAAAAAGAAGTTTGAAAAAAAATGAATCCGCCTCAACAATATCGAACTTATCTACCTTCTGATTAGTTGCATTCTGCTTTTCTAAATCTTTTGGGCGAAAATGCAAACGTTAAATCCAAAGCACTAAAAGGAAATTGGGCAATTCTTAACTAGGAAAACTGTCGATTTTTACTGCACAACTCTCAATGTTGTTAAGGGTGGAAATGCCAACATTGAAACTCTCGGAAGTTGATCAGTTTCGATTATCTGGAACCGGTGAATTTCCAGCACGCGAAATTGAACTTGGAACATCAACGAAAATCCAGATAAAATGGATTACGCGGGTGGAATTATGCCGGAGCGAAGTTATCGAGAACCGTGCATATGCCCGAAATGCGTTTTCCTCACTGCCCTATTTGGTAGATAAAAGGTGTTAAGCCGAGCCGAAAAATCCCGATTTTCCCCTAATCTAATCTAAGAGAATTCGAGTTCAGCCCGTCAAGTGATTGATTGAAGAACGACAAATTCCCCTAAATCATCAACGCTAATGTTGTCTAAGGCGCAATCTTTTCAGCGAATAAAAAGAAAATTCACTCATTCCTGGAATACGCTCGTTCCCTTTGAGCAAATTCATTAGGGCATTATAAAGGAAAGTGGTACAAGATAATGCAGCTTCGCTTCTTTTAAGCACACAATCGCTTGAGCAGTTAAAGAAGATTGGATTCAAGCAGCTCTTTAACGAAAAAAGAAGTGTGAGCTACATAAATCGGGAGATTTATTTTAAGGAAAACCTTGTTTCGTAAACATTTTTGCCAACTTATACCAAGAATGTAAACTTTCCAAGTCCGTTTCATCTAAATCAGTAATTGGGCGTCTTCGCTGTTTTGAAGCCGACTTGAGGCCCTCATTTAATTAAACTTTCATGACAGTAATGAATGATTTCAGAGCGCAAAACCAGTTAATTTTTAATTTTAATTCGATTCAGCTTTGCATTGAGGAAAAATGCGCTTTGTATCTAACGAATGCGATTTGGTTGCCATCGGTACCAGCATTATTCTTGATTATTGAAAATTAATCAAAATTAATTTCAATTTATTAGTGAAGTTTATTGTGTGACTGCGGGTGTTGTAGGGAATAATGCAGGCTTTGCATATAGAGAGCACTTTATTTGCGCGGTTTTGTTGATTTCCAATTTGCAAATAAAACATTTGCTAATTTTACAGTTCAATCCGCCGAATTGAAGGTGGGCTGTAAAAATTAGCTTAAAAATTGTTCGCTTTTGAATAATCGAAATATTATATAAAAATGAATTCTGATGTATTTTCCTGTCTGCGTGTACTTGTTATGATATTCCTATCTTTTCTGGGTTTCAGTCAAAGTGTAAAGTAAAATTTTTTGAAACATCGTTTATTTCATTACGTTTCGGCGAGACAACAGCRCCATCATCAGATTTAAAATTTTACACAAACTWATGATTGGTAAAAATCAACGTCCTTTTATGTCTTCACCTTCTTGAAAATCCGCAGATTTGATGGTTTTTGACGAATTTTTGTCCGTAACCCTCTCACTTGCACTGAAACTTGCAACTGCACAAATTTGAAAAAATCATAATTCGAAAACCAAAAAGCGGGAAAGACTTTTCTTCAAACTTGTCAAACGCACCCTCGTTGCTTCAAATGTTACCAAGTTAGTGTGAAAATCCCCAGATTTGCCGATTTTTGACGAATTTTTGTTCGTGGGACACTCTTTTGCACTGAAACTTTCAACTACACAAATTGCAAAAAATCATAATTCAAAAACCAAATAAGGGAAAAAAAATTGGTTAAAACTGATTCAAAGCACACTCATGGTTTCAAACGTTGCCAAACCTGTGTGCGAATCCCCAAATTTGCTGATTTTTGACGAATTTTTGTCTGGACCCTCTCACTTGCACTACAACTTGCAACTACACAAATTTAAAAAAATCATAATTCAAAAACCAAACGGCGGAAAAACTTTTCCTTAAAATCCGTCAAAAGCACACTCGTTGCTTCAAACGTTGCCAAACTTGTGTGCAAATCCCCTGATTGGCTGATTTTTGACGAATTTTTGTCCGTAACCCTCTCACTTGCACTGAAACTTGCAACTGCACAAATTTGAAAAAATCATAATTCGAAAACSAAAAAGCAGGAAAGACTTTTCTTCAAACTYGTCAAMCGCACCCTCGTTGCTTCAAATSTTGCCAAGTTAGTGTAAAAATCCCCAKATTTACCGATTTTTGACGAATTTTTGTCCGTGGGACACTCATTTGCACTGAAACTTTCAACTACACAAATTGCAAAAAATCATAATTCAAAAACCAAAAAACCTTCTTGAAACCTTTTCAAGACCAAGAAGGCAGACCTTTGCAAAAAGGGGAAGACCTAAAAGGACGTTGATTCTTACCAATCATGAGTTTGTGTAAAATTTTAAATCTGATGATGGCGCTGTTGTCTCGCCGAAACGTAATAAAATAAACGATGTTTCAAAAATTTTTAGTTCACGCTTTGACAAGATCATAAAAATTAATTAGTGATGGTGGTGGTCAATGCATTGAAACTGGTGAGTTTTTCGAAGATATTTGCTGCGTCGAGCAAACGACGATCTAAAACTCCAAAAAGCCCATCAGTTTTATGTAGAAGCGTGCAACAAAAAAAGTGAAAATTACATCGTTGATTCATTCTGTTGAATTTAGAACACTGTTGGGCAAAAACGGATAAACCCATTAATTGAAGCTTCATTAAACGACAAATACTGGGAGCAAATATTACAAAAAAGCCAGAAATTTACTGAATGTAATGGGGCATAATTGAAAAAAGCTTTAAATGCAAATTTGGCAGTGGAATTTGTAGATAAATTAATGTTATTGAATTTATGCATCACAAATTAAGCTTCACTCAACTGTAGCTGAAAAGTTCAATTCGATTTGCAGTAGTCGCATAAGCCAAAGAGCAACACGATTAAAACAGCAAATAACAGTAATTTTATATTCAAACATCTGGCCAACTAAATACGCTATTGTAGGTAATTGATTTTTTGCGCTTACATTGATAAATAAATGATATTATCGACACCCTCATAGATGTATCAGTGAGTAGATATCTGAAATGGGCGTCTTTTGGATGGGACAACTTGAAAATGCAACTGAATTTTTGGAAAAATGTCCTAAAAGATGAAAAAATCCTCTATTTCATCCAAGACTGTGAGGTATCGGGAGAAATGCTTCCATGCAGTGGAAAACTGAACTCTCTGGATCAAATAGTTCTGGAACCACAAAACTGAGCCCAATTTTGCCTAATTGTGTGTCAAAAACGAACCGCGCCAAAAAATAACCAGAAATATTCGGGTCGAAGACAAGGAAAACAACTGTAAAGCCCAGATAAAAATGAGTTTTAAACCCATCAAAAATGCACTTACTTTGCGAGTTCTTCTGGTAGCTTAACAATCATCCTAACCGACACACAGTCACACTAATCGATGTGAGGACGTGAATTTTCACACAAAAAGTGCAAAATTTGGGGTTGAAATTACATCACCTGGACAAATGTTTATGGGGCGCTTGAGCGAAAGAATGAAACTGGAAAAACGGACGTCGCTGATGCGGAAACGAGCGTCGCGACCTTGACGTCCGTTATCAGACTAAGCGGCGTCGAGATGTTGGAAGTGGCGTCTAGAGGAGCCGCGATTGCGCCAAAGGGTTAACATTAGAGTGGTCGAGATCGAATGTTTATTTTAACCGGTGTATCTGTTTACCTAGACAACATTTTCGGATGTTTTCCACAAAACTTTGAGCCCGGAAAATCCATTAATCCTGGGACGAAAATTCCAGCTGAGAAAGTTGAGCGGCGATGTGGATAGACAACAACAGAAATCGCGCAAAATTCACTTTATTATGTAACAAATCGGGTGCAGGCGAATTCTATGAACAAAATGAAAAATAATGCAAAAAACTGATCAAAAAGCTTGCAAATTTCACTCCAAACATGAAACCTAAACTCCTGATTAATAGCTTTAACACGACGGAATTTTCTTGCATAGTCAAAAATCCATATTTTTTCAATTTCAAAACCCGCTAAAAAAAGTTACTGCGGCTTTTCAAAAACGCTGTTAGTTTTTACAAGGAATTAAAAAGCAAATTTTGTCACTCATCAATAACTTTCAAATTCAATACTAACATGCAGAAGTCGAAAGCGTTTTTGAAAATCTGGCAAAAGATAGATGCGAAAGCTCGTGTGAAAATCGAGTTAATCATTCCGTCGCTTTCAATGATGCGGGTAGAGAAAAACATTCAAAAATCCTGGTCTGACTTGAATGTGAGTCTGGATTTTAGGCCTCTTTTGCACAAAATATCAAGCTGTATGAACTTGAAGTTTCGCAAAAATGGAGCAAAGGTCTGATTTGAGAGCTCGTATGAACGTCAAGTTCCGTCGCTCGTAAGTCTGAAGCATGCAGATTTTCATGAAAATTGAGCAAAATATTGATCGGAAAGTTAGTATTTAATTTAGCATTTAAAAGTCGCCCCATGAACGGCGATGTTTGCTTACCTTTACCCGAGAAAGCAACTTCGCTTACGCTAAATATCCAAACCAGTTCGATCGCGGACTGGAAATTTCTAGAAAATCATCAATAAGAAAAAAACCTGAAATCAAACAGCGAGTCTTACAAAGGGCGACGAAGCGAACGATTATATCATTATGTAAGTTCTGTAGCTCGGTGGGTTTTTCTGTGATAAACACCTAAATTTCGCATGAGTTTTATCGGAAAGCTGAAGATTTAGGCAGTCTATTATGGGCAAGGGACTGAATCGGTCGTCGGTTTTTTGTTCATAAACGGGATAAAAGCACTAATTTAATGCCCTTTAGGCACGTACGGTCGATCATCTTACCTGTTAATTGCTGACTGAAATCCACATTTATTTTCAACTTCGCCTGGATATTTATTGTGTGTTCAAGTGGAGGTGGTTCATGGAGGATGGGGCGCCAGTTTACAGACAGCAGGTAAGAAGGATTATTTTTGTTTTATTATTTTTAATTACTTTGGGCAAAGCGATTCGCGTTAGGAATTTTCAGGGCCTGTAGATGCAGAATCTCGAATCTCTATAGTAAAAGTATAAATAATAAAGCATTTTATTCAATAAAAATGTTATAAAAAGAAATTGGTTTGTTTCAATTGAGATCCCGATGTTAATGTTTTGTAAAGACTTTTAAAGAGGTGCAAGTCCTCTTGAAGTTGTTAAGATCTTAAATGTTGCAAATGCAAAACCTTAAATATCTTCAAATTAAATAAAATACGCCGACAGCACTTTCAAAGAAAACTGCTCAAATCGATTAAGCAGCCACCAAAAGTGGCAAATTATTAAAGCAAACAGTATGATTGGTCATTTGAATATACAATTGCGATATTCACTCAGCAACATTAATAAAATCTCATTTTGGAAATGTATTCAAATGGGCTTTAACTGGCGAAGTTGGGACCTCCAAAGCTCTGATTGGTTCATACATTTGAATTAGACTCATAATTTACTAATAACATTGACCCCTCGCCTGAATATTCACAATATTATAAAAATTCCGTTGTTTTCACAGATCAATAAATCGATAAATTATTTAGCATTTCCTGCACTTTGATATGCAGTTTCCATTTCGATTAACCTACCCTGACAATCTAGTAATGAACCTCCAAACTCCATTAAGCGGATTGTTCGGCTATTTATTATTAATATGCGACCCAATGGAACCTTCCATTCGTACCGCCTAGGGACTGATTTTTCTCTTCCCCTGTCTCTAGAGGCATCGACACTCACATATGTACAAATAAAATCGCTGAAAAACTACCAGCTAAATGAGTGAAGACAAACTGCAATTCCGGCATTCCTAAAAAATCGAAACAAATAATGAATAATAAATGAGAGCGGAGTGATTTAAATATAAACTTTTCGCGAAATTCCGCCGCCTGATTTGAATCTCAATGTTTAACATTTGCAATTCCACTTCCAAAGTTCGGCTTACCGATAACGAAGTTTTGGTTTGTCAATTTCGTTTCGCGAAAGCTTTCCCTTTGAGCACTTACCGGAAATTTGTATTACAAAACACACAATAGTGCAGCCCTTGGAGGTTTTTTTTGAGTGCTAATCACTAATAAAAAAAGTACAAAATACGGTATTTTATTATAAAACATTTGCTAGGCATGTATTAAAAATATACCATTCATATTCTCTAAGTATATATGTACAATGTTAAGCTACTTACACTTCAATAACTTAAGCGTTTCAAAAGTAGGCCCTTTTATAATATCCAATCAAACGAGATTTTTTTTGTAATGGAGTGTGTATTCATCAAGGGGATATAAAATTAAACCATATAACCTTGATCAACACACACTCTATTAGAAAAAAATCTCGTTTGATTGGATTTTTTTCAGTGTGTACACACCTGCTTCCTCACTTTTTTTGTGTCCTCGTGCTGTGGAAGTACACGAGATAGGAGAGTAAAGGACTAGGAATATTTGATAGAACTTTGTAACTTTCCTCAGCATAAACGCAAGAAAACCTATAGAAGCCAAATGCAACGTGAGTCTTAGAAGAATTTGCATATAAAACAATAATACAAATGCGTAAAGCGCCAGATCATCATTCGCGACCCGCGCGAGTGGGAGGCAAATTAATATTAAATCTGAATTTCCACTAGTGTATTCTTCGAATACACTGAATAAACTACACAATGGCACGTACAAAGTAACATACATTAAGGCGCCTCTACTAAGGGAGACCCAAATATAATGACGCCCAATACCATAATATAAATAAGGTTTATCAGTCAACATATGTATGTTAATGATCAAGCAAAATCGGATTTTCACAAGGTATTTTGGAATGTTCTGCATAATAACTAATCGTTAGCAAGTTTACATTCTTGTACTAGAATATCTGGAATAGAAGGGGGTACTCAGCCCGTATTGATTAAGTTCGAGATGGAAAAAATAAATGCATTTCAAGAATGGGAAAACTATTTCGAAACCTACCTAAAGCCCAGCGCAAACTGGCCCACTCAATTCCTCACTTTCCTTATTTCTTGATCACAGCCCTATTTTCCCATAGTCAGTGCTAAAATCTAGCTAACCCTAAAGCACATATCATTTACGATTGTCAAATTTCGCTTAGGTAAAGATTGTACAATTCACGATTTGTGATGGTATAAAGTGCACCACAACTCAGTCTATGTCCAGCTACTGACCAGCTACTTGTAATAAGACGTTGAAGGTGAACAAGAAGATGGCGCGCCAACAGCTAAACTAGGCTCTGTTTCCATCAGGAGCCCTCTTTCCTGAGTATTACAATTGCTTCCATAGCACACGGCACTAGCGTGCCCTGAACGACCTGATTTAAAAAAAATTGTTAAATGACAAACGGGTCTGGAAATTTGAAACATTCCTCACCTGAAGGCAAAGGTATTCCTTCCGTCCACGTATCTGTCGTTGGATCGTATATTTCCACGTCTTGAAGAAACTCCTGCCCATCATACCCGCCTGGGAAGCAAAAAAATCAGCGCCTCAAAGCAGGGAAAATAACGCCGCTTACCCATGGCATAAATGCGTCCATCTAACACAGTCACACTGAGCGCACTCCTTTGGATTTTCATACTAGACACAAAGTCCCACACTTGCTTCTCAGTGTCGTACCTCTCAACAGTGTTCAGCTGCAACCCGTTGTAGCCTCCTATCACGTAAATGTACTTGTCCATGGCGCAGACACCTGAAAAGAGTCGTTGATGCAGTTGTTGAACGCCCGCCCAAACTGCTTCGTACCTGCGCCGCTCCTCTCGGTGTACATTGGGGGAATCATGGTCCATTCATCATTCTCCGGATGGTAACACTCCACTGAACAGTGCCGAATTGTACCATCAAATCCTCCAATCGCATACAGTAATCTATTTACGACGGCTACGCCTACAGCCAATCTGGCATAGTGCATCGGTTTTACTACAGTCCATTTGTCCATTTCAGGATCGTAACTATAAGGAACGGAGGCGAATTTCAGTCCAGAGCTAATTAATCAGGCAAAATGCCTTCGGCCTAATTCCGCTTCCTTACCATTCAACAGAATTGTGATATTTTGTGCATTCGCCGCCGCCCACCGCGTATAGTAAGCCATCCATAACGGCGACTCCCACACGGTTTCGTGGACAGGACATGGGATGGCAAGGCATCCATTCGTCCAGTATCGGGTTGTATCGATCCACCCAATCTGAATCGTAGCTGTTTCCTGGCGTGTTGTTCCGGCCGCCTACTGCATAAAAGTGTCCCTAAAAATCGATAGAACTTCGAAAAAACCACAACACCTATGGGAGAAAACACAGCATACCTTGAGGAACGCGCAACCTAAGCCCGACCGTGGAACAATCAGCCTATCCAACTTGATCCAGGTTTTATCATCAATATTGAAGCCTTCTAGAATATCCAAGGACTGCTTGAAATAGCCGCCGGCAACATAAATCACTCTCGGAATATTGGGAGTTCTTTCTTTGACGGCAGTGCGAACGTGTAGTGTTAAATCCTAGAACAAGCCCGTTTGTTCCTGCGCTTGCAAAGTCCAGTTAAGGTTTCACCTTGAATATTTTAGTTAAATACTCCTTGCAGGCCGGAGTCTTCTTGATCACATCGCACTTCTGGATCTGGTCGTTTAAGAACTTTGGCGGCAAAAACTGGCACCGTACGGCGGACAAAATGTCCTCCATTTTCCGATTGCGGGTGTCTTCGTCGTATTTGATCCATTTGAGCACCGCGTTGTAAACCTCCTTTTCGTCCTGCACATTGAGCTCGTCTTTCCTGATCAGCTGGATGAGCTGATTGGCACTTAACTGAAGAAACTCCTCTTCGCGGCAGATCTGCACAGTTGATAAGCAATAAGTGAGCAAAAATTGTTTTTTTTGGACAAACAGGTTGAATTGAAAACAACTCACTTGAATAAATCGCCTTTCAATGTATTGGTTGGCTTTCTTGGATAGTTCCAGACAACCGTGTTGTTCGGCAAAATGGGCTATTCCAATCGCATTGCTCGGGTCCAATTGGCGTTCCAGAAAATCGCAACAGGCTTGAATCACATTGGGCACTTGTAGCATGGTGGCAGCGGCCAGTAGTTGACAAACAGTATTTTCTGTGACTCTTATGCGTCCAGTGTACATAAAACTAATCAATTTATGCATCGCCGTCGGCGATATTCCTTGCAATTTTACTCTGGACATTTCGCATTCCTTTAATCCTCCTGTGAACATTGCCTGCAAGAAATTACCCACTTTTTCTCCCCAGTTTATTGTGTTATAAGCAACGATTTATACCTTGAAGTATGGGCTAGCTGCCGCTAGTACGACTCGATGGGCATTGTAATGTTCGGCCCCCACTTCCAAAGTAACGTCCGTGAGCATCTGATGGCTCCTCATCATGTCCATTGCCTGCAATTTCGAACTTTTTTAAGTTGTTTGTGAATTTGCTTAGCTTACAAAACCTCTGGCCAATGGCGGATTTCTCCGTTTTTGCAAATAATCGATGAAACCTTGTTTCAGCCCTCTAGTTTTTGAAGAAAATTGAATCATAAAAACCAGTAGAAAAGTTGACCGACGCAACATCTAAATTATTTAGACACAATTCCGACGATTAGCATAAGCATGTGCAATTACATTAAGTAAATACTTTGAAATACGGCAAGTCATCGGTTTAAATAGCACGTCGGTATATTATGTTTCCACACTAGGAAGTTAAAAGCCGGGTTGGTAATTGAAAATTTCCATCTAACATTATAATGGAAATTGGTTCGGCAACCAGTGATATGATGATTATAACAATAGTCATTATTGATGATGATGAGAAATTATTAAGTATTTAGACATGCATTTCATTCCTTCAGGCGTGTGAAATGTAATTGAACTGCAAAAGTCGTTCAAACCATCATTAAAACACGCAACACTCTTATGATTGATTAATGCGTGTGTCCAGAAAAGATCTTCAAATGCTTTTTTATTCGAATGAATCAAAAAGTGCCATTTTGCGAACAGAAGCGATGATCAAAAAGAAGCCCTTTTCTTTAGCGTTCATTTGTTTTACTTTTACGCACGGACTTTAAGTAAATGTGACACTTTGAACTTGCCACTGTCATTATATATTTTTTAGTATTTTTATTTAAAAATAACCGAAATGCTTTTTTAAGGAATTACGT